GCTACTGCATTATGACAACGCGCGGCCACGTACTGCGCTTCGTATTCGAGAGTTTCTCGTTCGTAACAACGTATCAATCGTCTCACAAACCCCCTACTCTCCAGACCTATCTCTAGCTGACTTGTTCCTATTCTTCCGGATGAAGTTACGACTGAAAGGGCGGTGTTTTGCGACGAGAGAGACAATAATATCAGAATCACCGGACATATTATGATAAATTCCGGTCAATGCGTTTTCCGCGTGTTTTGCTGATTGGAAGAAACAGTTCCAACGGTGCATTGATGCCCAGTTTACGATACTAACGGCACACGCGTAGTTATTTGGTATTGCTAGGCAATTTCCAATAAAGACTCCAGGTTTTCTTTCTTCGGCAGTAACGATCCAAACTGAATTTGCATTTGTAGTTGCCAGTATTATCATTTCGCTTGAAACAAGTATCGGATATGTTTGATAAGATAATGAAACCAAATTTTTCCCGAAAATCTTCAATTTTCTGCTTTGACATTAGGCAGTTGAATTAATTCTCGCTATTTTTTCTACAAAAACTGATGTCTATTTAAAAAGAAGATTATATCTTATTCAAAGTATTGTCCTTCGGAAACTAAAAAATCTTTTCTCATTTTTCGGGTAACACATGTTATGCCGAAGAAAAATGCAGGTTCTTTTTTCAAGGCGATCTAGTCATCGAGACATTTTTTTATATCTTCGAAAGAACTGAAGTGCTGCTCAGAAAAGCCATGCTGCATCGACCGAAACAAATGATAATTTGAAGGAGCAACGTCTAGTAAGTAAAGGGTAAAAAAATCCCATGCAAGTGCCTCCAAGATTTTCTTCACCGTTGTTGCAATATGTGGTCTAGCTTTGTGGAGAAGAATAATTTTGTCATATCATTTGGCGTACTGCAAGTGTTTTTCTTTAAATGCTCAATTCATATTGAGTAATTGTTGTCGGTTCAGCATTGATGGTTTTACTCGATTGCAGCAGCTCATAATATACTACACCGACTTAATCCCATAAAATGCATAGCATGATCTCCTTTTCATAAATACCCTGTTTTAATGTTGATGTTGACGGTTCTTGCGTTCACGATAGTCATAATGAGTCCATTTTTCATCACCAGTTAAAATTCGATGCAAAAACGACTACCGTTTTTGTCTTTGAAGCAGCAATTCTCAAATGGTTATACAATTCCCAATGTCTCTTTTTCTCAATTCACGTGGGACTCAGTTTCCTTGCTTCTGGATCATTCTCATTACTTTTAAACGTTTGTTAACGGTTGACTCATCAATATTTAGTGTTTCCGACAACTCTTTGAGCGTCTGATGTGTATCTTCATCTAATAATACTCCCGATTCTCCATCTTCAAACTTGTTGCGCGAGTCGAGTCGTCGCGGATAATGTAGGGTGCGCTTCACAGCGCAACAGAGCGGGAGGCATTGGTGATGCTCGGTGTCAAATAAATTATCTCTTGTTGAAAAAATGATCTTTGTCTTTATTACGTTGTCCGCCCGAAACAATATTTCTGGTGTGATCGTCAGCGAGTCGGATCCCGAGAGTTGAGAGTCGAGAGTCGCCCGTCGCACAGGTATCACGTTTCTTTTATCCTCTTCCAATATCTCAATCAGAGGGGACGGTTTGGATGTGTCAGCGTCACTTGAGTGTGGACGTTGACCATCCTGATTTCGATATTTCCTTTGCTACAATGCAGGGTTGCATTTCCGCAAAGCGTCGTTTGGTAATTCGAGCCGTGGCCTTTGTTTATGGTCATCGACGTGTCTAATCGTTATGCTTACAACATCCCTCCCCCGTTGGAGAGAGAAAACGGAGGAACGACGTTTTTGTTTACAACAGTTTTTTCCCGTGGACAATATTTTATTATAATCGTTAATTTTTTTACTATTACATTATTTCTATTCGTTGGTTTCGTTTCGGCGGGTTTCTCTTAATTTACAGCGAGGTATTTCTATCTTTTGTCTTATTTGTCGTTGTTGCGTTCTATAACAATTGGATTGTTTTTCGTAATGTTTTGTAACTTTCTTAGTACTAGTATTATAACGATTATTACAATTATAATGGTTATTCCACTCGGCGCGGTTGAATAGAATAAATGTTTATGTTTTTAAGAAAATATTGATTCTCTAGATCTTGGCATATTTTGGACAATCTGTTTCCTAAATTTGTTAATTCCGCGGGGTTCTGTATCACTTTTTTGTGTTAGAGTTCGTACCGTGTTGTTTTTGTTTGATTTGCTGTGGACCCTTGAGAAAACGTGAGGTTATACTCTGTGTATATTTATTTATATTTCGTTGGTTTCAAACGTCTCCTGAGTCTGTATTATAGTATCTTCTATTATCAGTCTACACTGCTGTCGAAATTGAATAATTCCTGATTTTAAGATTTTCTTTCGATATTTATTCTTCTTTGTTGTAGTCGTCTTTTGCTCGTGTGTGGTGTTCGGCTATGGCTAGATTCGTTTCTGGTGAATTTGTTTTGCTTAGGCTATGGTTTCACGGCTATGGTTTCACGGATCCCCTTAACTTTCAGCGTCAGTGTTTTTCAATCGTATGCCACGGTGTGTTAAGATGGTTTTAGATCGACAGTTCAGTAGCTCGCTGGCTTTAGAAATGTGTTGTCCTTATTGTACCGGCCGGAGGGAGGAAGTAGTAGTGTATTATTTTGTTGGCCCTTTTGCATGTACCCTTGGTTATCTTTCCTTCCGCGTGTGGTTTTAGTTATTGTATTTTTCGGCACGATTTTAGATTCGGTATGCTTGCGGCGAGGTGGTGCCAAGGGTTGCTCCGCAAGTTTTTCAGGGGTTGCAACTTCCCGAGGCTGCCATTTTTCCAGTTATAGAGGTAGGCGGCTAGCGGCCTCAAGGCCTTCTTTGTCGTCTGGATTTCGTTATGCGGGAATAGTTCCGCCTGGCGAGGACCAACGTGCGGCTTGTGGGACGCGGTGGCGGACGTGAATAGGAGGGAGTGATTGGAATGGGTGGATGAGCTCCCGAACGGGGTCCTATTGGCCCCCCTTAGAGGTAAGTATTTTTTTTTGACATTAATTATCAATGTAGTGTTTTAGTCGATTTGCGTGAATGGTTAGGGTTTTACGGCCTCTTTTTATTATATAATTAACATCGGAGTGTTTCTTGATTATTTCATATGGCCCTATCCACATGGCGTCGAGTTTCTTTGATCTTCCTCGGCGTAAGGTTTCATCATATAATAAGACTTTGTCGCCTACTTGGTATTGGATCCCTTTGGTTTTTTGATCGTAGTATCGCTTGCTCTTCATTTTTTCTTTCTTGACGTGTTCCCTTGCTAGCTGATTTGCTGCGCGTAATCTCTGTTTGAGTTCCTGAGCATAGTCGTCGAAGGTGTATGTAGGTTCGGGTGGTAGGTATACGGCAGAATATAATGTTGCTTCATGTCCGTATAATAGCTCAAATGGAGTATAGCTTGTGCTAGTATGCGCGGTAGTATTATATGTGAAAATTGCGTATGGCATCTAATCATCCCAGTCTGTCTGGTCGGTATTGTTGTAATGCCTTAAATATTCTGCGAGTGTTTTATGCAAGCGTTTTAGCACGCCATTGCTTTGTGGATGATACGCGGTGGTTTGTATTAGGTTGGTGCGTATGAAATGTCGGATTCTCTTTACATGCGGACGTTTTCCTACCCTGTTTTCGTTATACTTTTGTATTTGGCATAACCTCATTCATACTCGTATTGTCCATTGCCAGAGACTCATTTCAACAAAATAGGTTTTCTCGAAGGTCTTCCCTTTTTTATTTCTTTTGAGTTTATTACCGATATGAATTCTGCCGACATTCGCGTCATTTTCTTATATGAGTACAAACTTGGTAATAGTGCTGCAAAAGCTGCACGCAACATAAACCAAGCGTTTGGGGAGAATACGGTTAACAATCGGAAAGTGCAGCGTTGGTTCGAAAAATTTCGGACTGGCGATTTTTCACTGCAAAATGAGCCGCGCGGAAGACCCAAAACGTCTGTGAATAATGATGACCTGAAGGCTCTAGTGGAAGCGGATCCAGCCGTATCCACGAGGGAACTTGCTATCAGGATGAAAGTTGACCATACAACGATATTGAGACACCAAATTGTACTCCCATCGCTTGTGAATCGGCATGGCCCGCTACTGCTCCATGACAACGCTCGGCCGCACACATCGCACAAAACAATTGCGAAACTGAACGAACTGGAATATGAAGTTTTGCAGCATCCACCATATTCACCGGATCTCTCGCCGACCGATTTTCATTTTTTCAAGCATTTAGAGCTGTTTTTAAGAGGCAAACACCATGAAAATGAAGACAGTCTAAAAAACTCGATATCAGAGTTTATTAATTCTAAAGACCAAAATTTTTTTAAGACAGGCATCTACGCTTTAAAATCTCGTTGGGAGAAGTGTATTGAAGCGAATGGAGCATACTTTGATTGAATAAACAGCTTTTGAAGAAAGATATACAGTTTTATACAATCACTTAAGAATCCGACATTTCATATGCACCAACCTAATATTTTCTGTATTCTTAATAATTTGCAAGTGTTTTTAAACACGTTACTTAAAAAGTTTGTTCCTTGATCCGTTAATATTTCATTAGGAATTCCGTATTCCAAAATTATTTTCTCTACAAATTCTTTCGCGATGGTTGATGCTTCTTGATTCGGTATGGGTATCGCTTTACAAAATTTAGTTAAATTATCTTGGAATGTTAGTACATATTTATTTCCATTCTTTGTTACTGTTAACACATTGTTAACCGGTCACGAGTTACTTGTGTTTTTCTGCTCAAACGTTGCTGATCGGCCACGAGTGAACTCGTGATCGATGCGCTTTTGTTTCGCATCGATCACGAGTTGGGTCAGTACGTTCTCGGAGATCATACAGTGTAATTGTTGTTCAGCATACCACAAGCTGTGTCTTTCGCTAATAAAACCCGTCAAATTGTACCCCCTTTGAAATAAGAAAAAATTTCAACCATGATGGAACGTAACGGTGAAAAATCCTTCAATGAATTATACGCGGACGCTTTATCCGATTGTCCGAGTGATTTTGAAATAAATTGTAGTGATTCGGAAAATGATGCTTTATCGGAAGACAGTGATGAATCTGATATTAAGCCACTAAATCGGCAAAATAGAAATGTAATAGTATCTGATAGTGACAATGATTTGGAAGAAGAGTGGAACGGAAATAATATAACACCAACATTGGAGGATTATTTAAATATTCCTGGTGTAACTACTGAACTTGGTGATGCGCCGAGTTTCAGTGAAGTAACGGCTTTACTTTTTGATAATGGTTTTTTTTATTTAGTTGTTACGCAAACCAATTTGTACCACTCTCAAATGAAAGAATTGCATAAAAGCCCTGCGAAAACGATACCATGGACGGAAGTTACCACTAACGAAATAAAAAAGTTTCTTGGATTACTGATATTGATGGGCCAAACCAACAAGTCACATTGGAAAGATTATTGGTCAACGGACCCTTTGGTTGAAGCACCAATATTTCGTAGAACTATGTCCAGAATGAGATTTGAACAAATTCTTACATTTTTCTATCTGAATGATAATACACAGAATACATCTATTGGAGACAGACTTTGCAAAATTACATAGCTTTTGGATTATATTATTCCAAAATTTCAATCCATATACATACCCAAACAGGAGTTAGTTCTAGACGAAGCAATGGTACCATACAGAGGACGTCTCAGCTTCAGGACGTATAACCCGGCAAAGATAACAAAATATGAAATTTTAATCAGAATACTTTGTGAAAGTGAGAGTGGGTACATATCTTCGAAATCTATCTGGGACAAGGAAAAAAGTTCTAAGAAACCATATTGTCTGTGTTGGAGCCATACCTGGTCATTGGCATCACATAAACCAAGATAATTATTATAACAGCGTTTCTACAGCTGAAGTATTACTAAGAAAGAAAACACTAGTCTGTGGTACCATACGAGAAAACCGTGGCTTGCCAAAGGTTCTAATAGAAAAGTCCAAAAGTTTACGCAGAGGAGAAATGACTTTTGTACGGAAAAGACCTGTTGTTTTTGTCGCTTGAAAAGATAAAAGAATAGTGCGCATGATATCAACTATTCATGATGCTTCTCTGAAATCAAGTAGAAAACGAAAAAGAAATTCTATGGATGATATGGTTAAACCTACGTGCATATTAGAATACAATAAATACATGAAAGGGTTCGATCGTGCAAATCGGTATTTGGCAAACAGCAATATTTTACGAAAAAGTTTAAAGTGGTAAAAAAAATTAGCATTCTTTTTCATAAACTGAACTTTGTTTAATGCATTTAAAATCTACTGTGACTATTAGTCACAAAATAAACTAAGATACAAAAAATTTCTACTGAAAGTAGCTAGGAAATGGACAACTGTATATTCCAATGAATGCAGCATAGTACGTGACGCTTCCTCCCGTATTTCTAAAACGGCTCCTTACAATGATCCACCTTTCAGGCTTTCCTAGGATAGCTAAGAGACCACGTTTTAGAAAAAATAGTCACTGGCAGAAAAACAAATCCAACTAGAACATGTAGAGTATGCTCTTCAAAAGGAAAACGCAGCGAAACAAGATACATTTGCAAAACCTGTTGTGTGCCATTACACGTAGGTGATTGCTACACAGTTTATCATACTAAAAAGAAATATTAAAAGTTAAATATTAAATAAAATTTATTGAAGTTTATTTATATTGTTTCACTTCCACATCCAATTACGAAATAATTGCCGATGACATTAGATAAATTCTAAGTAAAATTGCTGGTTAACAATATGTCAAAAAAGTACTAGGAACTTTAGATTAAAATTGATTTTTACTTAAAAATGTTATGATAATTATTAAAAAACAATTTTTTTAATAATATCTGAAATGCATCTTATTTTACAATTTTTTAAAAATTCGTAAAAATTTATGTTAAGTAAAAAAAGTTATAACACAGCCGCACAAAAAAAAATTTTTGAGGCAGGGAGTTTGACTATGTTTACTGTATGTTTTTGGGGTCGCTGAATCCGAATCCGAGGTCGGTTTAACCCCTGGACGTCAGGGTTTGGCCATAACCTCAAAAAACACTTTAAAATTTATTAAAATATCTAATCCCGATTATCAAAAACGATTGAAAACCTAAGAACCTGGTAACTCATCGACTCGCCAACT